CCTGTTTTCTTGTTTAAATAACTATAGTTTAAAATTTTAAATTCCGCCTTCCGATTTACGCATTTTATAATACGCTTGTATGTCGCAAAATACACTTATATAGAGGTAATTTCGGACTTAAGTTACTCGTTTCTGTTGAATGATTCGCGTAACGATCGATATCACATCGGACCCACCAGTGGCCGAGTAGTTCCATTCTTTGAAGACTGTTGGTTCGGTCGTGGGTTGAGCCTTGCCAAAACGGATTGGCGGCGTGGCGTTTATCAGGTTTTTTCCACATTTTTAACGCTTAAATAGGTGTCAATTAACCTTAAAAAGACATCACGTAGGCAGTTCGCTCAAGTTTTGCATTGCTGTAACTAACAAGACAAACTCTCTAATTGATCAACTACTAATTTATATGACACACTGGTAACGCTTATTTCTATGCTTTTTATTTTTTTGTACTTGCACACATCATTAATTACTGTTAACTTCTAGTTATACTTCTTAGATTACGCTGCTAACATTCAAAAATTATTATTTCGTATTACGTCTCAGTGTATTTAATTGATTCGAACCTTTAATTTTCATATCTCTCGTTTCGAGCTGCGTGTTCTCAAAGAAACGTACTAAAGTTTAGTAACGTTTACTAAGGTTTATCAAAATTAATAAAGTAAACGATATTCCCATCAACACGAGAAACATATCAAGAATAGACTAACAAATTTAAACTTATAAAAAGTAAAAGGTAGTGTACAGAAGACATTATATTATTTTTTTGAATTTCGTTACCGTTTGAATATTTGAATCGCAAGAAAAATCTGAAATAACCGAACTTATTAAATTAATTGTAATATTTTTCTTTATGCACGCGATCTCCTTCAGATGACATAAATATGCTATGCTTTTCCTATGGAATTCCATATATCCTTGGAAACAGAAGATAAAATCAAACAGTCTTTTGTATTAAAATCCCGAAAGTTTCCCAAATTTTTCACGTATCTGACATCTAAATAGGGACCAGTTATCCACAGAAAGTGCTTTCTGGAGGCATTCTCCCTTGCAGATCAACCGCGGTTTTCGTTGTTTGGTACTATCTAAATTGTCAACATTCATCCTCCCCTTCACGGACATGGCCAAACCCGCGATGGATATGAAATTTAAAAAACCTGTATTAGTGCGCTTGTTTTATAAAGAATTTAAAATTCATTATGCAGAACCATCAGGTATGTTCCAATACTCATTCGAACAGTCCAGTACATTAAAATTATGCTCAGCTGTGTGCAAAAAATTGGGAATTGTTCTGAATAACAATATTCTAACATCCGGGCTTACTAATATTATAAATAGAATAATTTTCCTTAAAAATGCATACTTTCAAACGGTGTTCCATTTTAATGATTGAGAGATAAGCAGAATTGTTCAAAGCTACACGTCGGAATAAAATAAGCGGAAACGAACATAAATTATTTATACAGTAGACCCCNCGGGCTTACTAATATTATAAATAGAATAATTTTCCTTAAAAATGCATACTTTCAAACGGTGTTCCATTTTAATGATTGAGAGATAAGCAGAATTGTTCAAAGCTACACGTCGGAATAAAATAAGCGGAAACGAACATAAATTATTTATACAGTAGACCCCGCTATAACGCGATAAATACGTTACACGTATCTACCGTTAACTATAACGCGTTATACCGCGTTATAGTTGACTCAGGACTAAACGTTAAGGGGTTATAATTAATTAATAAGATATATTGATAAAATTCGTGAATTTCTAGTAAATAAATAAAAAATAAACTTTTATTTCATACAATAAACAATAAATAAATTAAAAATAAACAAGTTTTAAATACAAATGACAAATAAACAATATAAAATAAACGATTTTGATACAATGAACAATGAATAAATTAAAAATAAACATTTTATAATACAAATCAATAATAAATATACAAGAAAAAACAATTTTTAAATACAAATGACAAATAAAACATTTAAATAATTTCATTTTTAAATTTTAAAAATTAAATAAATTAAAAATAATTATTTTTATAATACAATTATATAGTTTAAATACAAAACAAGAACAAGTTACAAATACAAATGAAACGTACAAAAAATATATAATTAACCTTTTTTTAGAAAATGAAAATAAAATAAATTGAAAATAAATATTTTTAAAACAGAAATAAATAATAAATATACTAAAACACGAACAATTTAAACATACAAACAGAACAAGAAAGTAATAAATAAAAAAATTTTTTTCCTTTTTTTAAATATAAAGAAGAAAGAAATAAATTAAAAACACTTTTTTTTCCTTTTTTAAATATGAAGAATAAAGAAATAAATTAAAAAAACTTTTTTTTCCTTTTTTAAATATGAAGAATAAAGCAATAAATTAAAAAAACTTTTTTTTCCTTTTTTAAATATGAAGAATAAAGAAATAAATGAAAAAAATTTTTTCCTTTTTTAAATATGAAGAATAAAGCAATAAATTAAAAAAACTTTTTTTTCCTTTTTTAAATATGAAGAATAAAGAAATAAATGAAAAAATTTTTTTTCTTTTTTAAATATGAAGAATAAAGCAATAAATTAAAAAAACTTTTTTTTCCTTTTTTAAATATGAAGAATAAAGAAATAAATGAAAAAATTTTTTTTCTTTTTTAAATATGAAGAATAAAGCAATAAATTAAAAAAACTTTTTTTTCCTTTTTTAAATATGAAGAATAAAGAAATAAATGAAAAAATTTTTTTTCTTTTTTAAATATGAAGAATAAAGCAATAAATTAAAAAAACTTTTTTTTCCTTTTTTAAATATGAAGAATAAAGAAATAAATGAAAAAATTTTTTTTCTTTTTTAAATATGAAGAATAAAGCAATAAATTAAAAAAACTTTTTTTTCCTTTTTTAAATATGAAGAATAAAGAAATAAATGAAAAAATTTTTTTTCTTTTTTAAATATGAAGAATAAAGCAATAAATTAAAAAAACTTTTTTTTCCTTTTTTAAATATGAAGAATAAAGAAATAAATTAAAAAAACTTTTTTTTTCTTTTTTAAATAAGAATAAATAAGAAATAAATTAAAAAAACTTTTTTTTCTTTTTAAATATGAAGAAATAAAATATAAATTTAAAAAAAAACTTTTTTTTAAACTTTATAAATATACAAGACATACAAATACAAATGAAAAATAGAATAAATATACAATTAACCGTTTTTTAAGAAATGAAAATTAAATTCAAAATAAATATTTTAAAGACAGAAATAAGTATCAAATATACTAAAAATACGAACAATTTAAAAAGACAAATAAAAAATAAATATACAAGACATGAACTATTTACAAATATAAATGAAAAATTAAGCAAAACAAGCTTTCTAGGTGCTAAATATTTATACATTGAATAATTAAACTTTTGTTTTCTTACTTTCATAAATTCTCTAACAGTATCGTTAGTAACAGCTTGTCTTCTCTTCTGGTGTTCTGCTACCACTCTTTGGAGTATTCCATTTAATTCTTTCTTAAGCAAACCAGTTAATAATTTCCCCGATGAATATTCCTCTCTAATTGTTTCAAGTCTTTCATCATCATCAAGAAAGAATCGCAAATATTGCACTTATTTTAGTCTGTGCACCTTGAAGAGCAGGAATAAATACAGAGTGTATCAATGCAGGCTTTAGATAACCCAATTTAAAGGCAACATCATGGGTCATTCTAAAATATGGATCCTGATCAATAGCACATGGAATGAGACAATTACTATCTTTTCTTCCATTAAAAATAAATGGAAATGAAGTAGAGAAAGAAAGAGCTGCTTGTATGGCAGAAAAACTTATTTTCCCTATACAGTCACTATCTCCAAATCCAAAAATTCCTTTCACTTGATTGAAAGTAACATTTCTTTGAACTTTGACAATATTCTTATAAAAATCATGACATTGGCCAATGAAGTTAAAATCGGAGAAAATAAATATTTTTTCAACATCAAATCCAAGAGCAATAATATCTTTAGCATTTTCAAAAGCTAGATGACAAACATCATCCACACTAATATCCTTCCACAGAAACTTTTCATCATCAATCAACTGTATAAGTAAAGGAACATCAAAAGTTTCTTGCAACCATTTTTTAAAAATAAATGGAATTAAATGACCAAGATGCAAAGCTTCAGATGATGGTCCTCTTTCAGTATATAAGAAAAATGGCTTATTTTGTTCATAGCAATTAAACACATTATAAACATCACGGTGAGAAAAGTTAATTCCTTATCTTAACAAATGATGTGCTGGTTTTCCAGTTATTTTTTCAATTCTTGCAATAAGTTCTGTATCAATTTTAGAACTTCCAAATCTTTGGGTAAGTTTATCATAATCAACTCCAGCTGCAGATTTGCTTACTACATTCCAAGGATCGACGAAATCATCCTCCTGTTTTGATTTTTTATTGTATATATTCTGTTATAAAACCATATTTTCTAACCCATCAAGTATTATATTCATTTTCACTCCGACGTTTCCGATTCTCAAAGTAAGAAATATTATGGTGTGATATTAATTATGACATAAAAACATTATCGAAACATTTAAATCTTTCTCAAACTTTCAACCACGCTGCAAGGAGATTGTATCCCAATGTCAATACAAATGAAAAATAGAAAAAATATACAATTAACCTTTTTTTAAAAAACGAAAATTAANATAATAAAATCAGTAAAATAAATTAAACTATATTTCAATGAATAAGATATTAATATACGAAAATAAATATTAAAATAATAACCGAATTTCAATAAATATTATGGAAAAAAATGTAATAATTTAATAAAAATTACATGATTACAAAAGGACTAATGAAATAATTTCAATGACTTCATTTAAAACAATTAATTCAGAATTAGATACAGAAAAAAAAATAAAAATGTGATCGTAAATGAGAGTTTGACATGAGATAAAAAAACATGTTTAATTTAGCCTAGACAAAGGTTAAACAGGAGAAAATTTTCAAACCTCTTTTTCAGATGTTAATATAGATTTTTCATCTGGCAAAATCCATTTATTCTCCACGTTTTTTTGTGGTTTAATTTTATTGTTAAACTTTCCTGTATTGTTTCTTTCCATCTGCTTGCTATTCTTCCCAACTTTCCTGTATTGTTTCTTTGCATCTGGCATCCATTTATTCTCCACCATTTTTTGTGGTTTAATTTTATTGTTCAACTTTACTGTACTGTTTCTTTTCTTGTACATAAATATACCTGAAAAACATAATATTTTATGTTTAGCGTATGTGTTGCAGTTTTCTCTTTGTAAAAGTTATAATGCAGCTATTAACTATAAATTATCCAAAAACCATCACGCTTCTCAAACATGCAGTTACATTATCCGTCCAAAGTCAACACAAGATATAAATGATTTCAAATACTAATAAGCAATTCAAGAATGAGAAAGTGCAAAAAGTGATAAAATTCGAATTTTAATTAAACAGATACAACAAAATTTAAAATATTTTTTATTCAACAAAGAAACTTCTGCTTAAGTAAAATAAATTGTAAAGTATTGTTCCACTTTAGTTTCATTAACAATGCAAGAAACATTAATTATCTGATTTAGTGTTAAAATTATTACACAATCGAATTTAAAACTTTTATAACTGTTTAATTGTAAAAGAAATTGAAAGACATTGTGTTATAAAAATAAGAGTAATAACATATCTTACCATATTGATCATTATTATCGATTTCTGCATCAAATTGTTCACAATTGCTTGAATTAGACTCTGATTCAATGTTATCAGATTGAGATGCATTGTTTACAGGTTCATATTCTTCGTATATAACGTTTTTCACTAATGAATACATTTCCAATTCAACAAATTTTCTAAATAAATATCGATGATTAGACTCTGATTCAATGTTATCAGTTTGAGATGCATCAAATACAGGTTCATATTCTTCGTATATTATGTTTTTTACTAATGAATATTTTTCCAATTCAACAAATTTTTTAAATAAATAGCGATGACGTAAGCCTTCATTAGAAAATCCTGTCATCTTTAATTGTTGTTTTGTACGAAGTTTTTTATCTGCCAGATTTTTAGCCAGATACTGAAAAAATTTCAATATATATTATAAATATTAAATTTGATTCATAATATTCAACAGTTAGTTTTTTGTAATTGACGAGCGACTTTAATAACGCGATGACAGGCAGCTGCAAAAAGTGGATGTAATTGACAATAGGAAAAACATCGCTCAAATTGTCGTTTATTGTACATTAATGCAGAGTGATAATGAAAACGTTAAAACTTGATTGAGGATAAGACGGGGGTGTGCAAAAGTAGGTATTCAGTTAAGAATCTGAGAAATACAAATGTTTGGCATTCATTTTTAATATTTTTATAATGTTTTATTAGTTCGTATTCCTTTTTTGTGATTTAATTTGAACATAATACATAAAATGTTTTATGTTAACATAAAAACAAATGTTTTTCTTCCTATATGTGTTTCCATAATAACATATACATACTTTTGCTTTCCATATTAACTGGACTACAATCTTGAAATTGTAAGTATTCATTTGTACTGTGATGGTCTGGCTATTCGACTGTTATTTGCTAATTTCGGGAATGGAATTAGATAGATAAAAACCGAGACCATCCTAAGAGAATCTTAGAAAGCCGAAGTGTCGATTAACTGTATACGGTGTCCGGGCTAGACCGAAAGTTGTGTGATTTTTCTTAAATAAAAAATAAATGGCAAAAGAATTGCCGCTTCGCATTGTAACGATGTCACGATATATTTTGGTCGTTGTCATTGTTTGCCTATCTGTTGAGAGGCAAATGTCTGTCTACTCTTTAACTGACAACAATTATTATAAGTTAGTAAAATATTTAAAAATTGAAAATGAAAAGATTTCTGTTTTCTTATAATTGAGGAGTGAAGCAATACAAAGGAATTAATACAAAAATTTAAAAAAGAAGCAATGTTTTCGTGTACACTTAACACGAAATTTTCTTGACACGCTATTTGAGTTTATTTTTTATGAAAATAAAAAGATACAATTTATAATTTTCTAATACACTCACCTGATTAAAATCCATAAAATCAGTGTCGTTAGAAAACGACACATACCCTCTAAAAAATTCACCTCGAAAACCTGTGAACGAACATTTCACAATTACTAGTTATATATTTTCGTAATACACTTATTGTGTTAATAGTACAGTGAACTATAGATAACATTTACAGGCAACAACTTTTAAAACTCATTTTGCTGTCCGTTAGAATATTTTTTAAAAAAATCGTTTTATATGATTAATTATTACGAAATGGCAAAAGCTTAATTTTGAGAGTAGTAAAATCTTCATTAGGTCCAACCGCTCAAGACATACGAAACACGAACCCCTCTGTCTTTCACCCCGTGGACTTTTATTCATTAAAATATAACAGCTTCAATGCCTTTAGTACTGTACACAAACCTCTGAAAACTTAGCAATTTTCGAAGAAAGGCACAAGAGTTATTAACCTGCAAACTGAGTGAATCAAATCGTACACACTCTATCTTACAGGCATACAGAAAAACACCCAAACTTTTTTCTTTTTAGTAGTTTTCGACGTTTCACGATCCCTCCGATTCTATAATTGCAAAAATGTTGGAAAAAGTCGTTTTCCATCGATCATCGAACCTTCCCTCTGTTGTATATAACAGCGGAAAAGTAAAACTAATCATAACAATTAAAATTAATGTATCATTATCGATTGAAGGCCATCGGAGATTCATTTAGTAGAGTAATTTTTACAAATAAGCGTCACGAATGGCAGTCTTAAATCTCTTAAATTATGCCACAAAAATCAGCATTGAAGCATTGTTTTGATTTCAATTAAGCAATTGCCATAAAACAACTGATGTAACAAATACGAAATAAGATAATTTAACTTACTTGCACCACTCATTATCTCAAAATTAATTCGCATTCGAAAAACTTGCATCCGACAAGAATCGCTTGTAATAATCAACTCGTTTCAACAATCCTCAAAATTGTATTGTTAAGAGGAATTGTGAATATTAGGGCGCCTCTACCAGGAAAAATAATAGCTGGAATTTTGGTTGGAATGCCCGTAGCGGGGAGGATAGGAGGTGACGTTTTCTGGTTTTATGGAGGAAGGTCTCTGTCAACTCGTACTGTGCTCTTATCTGACTGTATATTTTCTATGTAAACAAACGTTGCTTTGTTTTACGACGTGTCTAGTTTCGTCCGACATCCCGTAACGTAGTGTTACAGCAGTTCATACATAAATGGAAAATNATGTTAATGTCGATTTTACTTAAATGTTTATACGTATAGAAATAAACGAACAAATCAAAACATGTTACATTCACAAAAACTGCGTGGAAAATCTGATAACTTTTATTAACAAACACCACATTAAATGGACCAGATATTTTCTCTTTGTAGGACACTATGCAATGTATGCATGAACATTTCTCAGCGCTGCAGCATTTCGAAATACTACATTCTACTAAAAAAAAAAGTTCTTTAACATCAAGTGCAATAAAATATTGAACGTTATTGAATAGATTTTATGCCAGGGATGAATGAGTCTACTAAATGCTTAACAGCTTTGAATGACAAATTCAAGTTGTGATAGAAAAAAATTTGAAAAACTTTTTTTTTGGGGTCCATGCAAAAATACCCATGTTAAAGATACTTGTCATCTATAACTTATTAACAATATTTCACTTATTATACAGGTTTAGAAATATCAGCTTTTTAATTAGATTCATAGAATATTACAAGCAATCTTATGCTTACACTTAACAATTAAAACATGAAAAAAAGGCAATCCAAAAGTTATAAAAAACACAATGCTAGCTATAATATTATAGAATATCACCTAAATTATTTCGTGACGATCCTGCCACGACTTTGCCAGTGCTGCTTCGCAATTCGAGGTGGACATTTTCTATATAGGAAAGTCTCTCTGCCAGGGTATTGATAAGCTTTTCCATTCATTCTCCACCTATGTCCAAATGCTGTTTGTATCTTTTTCACCAAAAACTTACTTTTGTTGCTTCGTGTTGTAAAATTCTACATATTATTGCGAATTTCTTTGTGTTAGACATCAAGCAATACAGTTTTCGCCGTATTTGTGTGCATTCAACTACATTTCTTTCTATTCATCTACATACTGCTAATAATATGGGTAGTGTAAATCCTAGTTGTATTGGTACTAGTTATAACAACTGGTGTATATGACATTGTAAATATAATATACATGAATTTTTCAAATTATTAGACATGATATTTTATTTTACACAACTCATTGTTTGATTGTATCAAAAATGGTTTGATTACAAATCCTAAATCCATACGTATCTTGAGTGACTTCTCGAAATTTTAATAATGTTGAGAACGTACTCCAAATTGAATTCAACAACTATTAAGATAAATTTATTAATTGGAATTGATTTTAATTTTTATAAATTTTATATTTTTATTATCTTTATACTTTAATATTAAATTGTCATAAATATTACTTTATAATAATTTTAAAAATATATTTTATTGCACGAGTAAATAGATTAGTTAAACTTTTCTTATTTTTAAGTAATAAAACTATAAAATATTTTATTAATAAACATTTTTAGTGAGTTGAAAAAAAAAGTCATTGTATTGTCACCGCTACTTTTTAGATAATGCAAGCACAATCTTAAATAAATAAATGATACACTTTATCTTCGAGAAATAGAATTTTATCCGAGTTAGCAAATAACAACATTAATTAATATATATATATATACAGTATATATACTAATAGATATTTATGCCAAAATGCGTTAGGTAGGCTTTTCAGCTTATAATGGAATTTTCTAAAACAAAGAAGAAAAATTATTCTATTTGGAAATGTTTTCATTCTGCAAAGAGTCCGTTTTACACAGGTTTTACTGTAATAAAACTATTCTAAAATTCCGATAATATTTCTAGTTAATTCTGAAAAATACCCACTTCAATTGTGAACTCTTTTCTAATCACAAAAGCTCCAAAATATTGGAATCCAATATATCCTCCGTTAATTCTTTTTATGAATGAAAGAACCTGAAACGAATTTTAAGTACACATCAATTATATGAAAACACTGAATGTGAACGTTATGAACATGCTTACTTTTAATACATCCACAATTTCCAAATGATATTTATGTAAACTGAATATATACAATTCATCAATCGGCTTCATTGACTGAAATTGAGAAACATTGAATTTGTTATAAAATATAATAATATCAATTAACTCGTTATTATTTTATGTACAAATAATATGAAAAAATTCATTATTTATAAATATTTTTAGAACTATCTGTGTGTCTTTTCATCTGAACTTTAGTTATGCTGCCAGTTCACATAACCATCTGGGATAATACATTAAATAAAACGTACTGCACGTTCTACAGAGTAAATAAACATTGCAACCCAGAAACCGTTAATCCAGACACACTGAAATTAATTAATTAATGTTGATAGTCTATCAATTAGATCAAATAACAAGAATATTGGGATAATGTCTTGCCATGTCTGTCACCACCCCAATATTCCATTTTGGGACTAGTCGAACACACGTTAGACACGACGAAAAGAAAATTCTCTTAGTACCCAAAGGCGAAAAGAGAAGCCAATGACAGAGAAAGTTGGCTTCACTGCGAGTTTTGGACTCATCCTTCAAATATTACAAGCCTATTATAGTGATGATTATTAGTTAAATTTTCATTTTGAGAATGCTCTTATCTAAATTGCTTATACAAGACTTAGATACAAATATTGCACCAGGTCGTTTCTTCCTATTGCAATGTAATAACTAAATACAAGTGCTTTCGAGAGTACATAAAAGTGGACTATTCGTTAGTTTAAATCTTTCCGTCCTTTGAATCATAACAACACTTTTCATTAAGTCATCTTTCCTCAGGCCAATGGACGCCTGAGGAAAGATGGATTGGGTCAGACTGATGAAATAAAGTAACACAATACTTGAGCAATTTGCATAAGTGTTACGTTCCTAAAAGAAATTACATGGAAATAGAGAAGTCATACCTGGAGGCACCCAGGATGATAGTCATACAGTATTTACGTGTTCGATACATGAAGAAAACCCGGAAAGTTCAATATAACGACCATATTGGTTAAACCACCATATTGGTTATGATATATATATGTGTAGAAACTTTTTGCTTGTTTGTTTGTTTGTTCTCTATGCATTCCTACGCTGTTAAACCACTTGCTGTAAAACTTGACAGTTACAATCACTAACATGCTTGCAAGTTAGACAATAACGTACATATTACCCCAAAGTATTAATATAACTTTCCTATATTAGTTAATTTCTGCTCACATCCAACCTCTGACCTTAATATGTGTCGCCATTTTTCGGCAAATAAAACTTAAAAACTATGAAACTAAATATAATTCATATAAACAAGGCATAATTTAAATATACTGTACATATATTATATAATTATATAGTGCTTCTACTTTGCTATAGTAAGACAGGTGGCATATGACACTCACGTGTGTCCAGTCAATACTGTTATACTTTGAAAAACTAAGTATTGTATTTGGTTTTCCGTATGAAACAACTTAGATATTTACATATAAGATTCGTAAGGACCGGGTACTTTTTCGTCAGTCATTTTCGCAAAATTAATAATTTTATATGTTTTAATTTTCTTTCTTATAAATCCGGAAAAGCCGCGTAGAACAAGCTACTGATTACATAAACTAAATTAATATAGACATTTTTTCAAATATTATTAAGTAAAAAATTAATTGAATTAATGAGATAATGGCGATGTAACCTTCGAGCGAACTGCCGAAAGGTCGGATGAACAATAAAAGATTTTATATAGGAAAACTACTTCCAATTTAAATATTAAACATGTGAAAAAAATCTGGAAAACAGCACGTATTCAGCCGTTGGTAAGGCTGAAACCCGCTCCAATTACTAATGTTCGACAATTTTTATTCTAATAAGTAACTAATTGATTCCTAGAAGGTCATAAGAAATTCATACTACACGTTGCTTTTATTTATTTAAAAGAAATTTTAATAAAATGAACACAAAATAGCAAAATAATATAATTTTTTACTTACCGATTTAGTAATTTCTCCTTTTGAAAGAACATCGATAATTAAACCTGCCTCAAGTACTAATCCAAATAAGAAAAAGATTCCTTTTTCAAAACTTCGTTTGAAGTAGATGACATAATACATACAACAAGAAAAACAATGCATAAGGCACAAAGTAATAGCCGTAAACATCCTTCCTAAGACTTTATCAAATTCATGTATAGTACTACATAATTCTGCAAATTTCTTTTGTTCTGAAGATATTGTTATTTTTACTGATTTTCCAGTATCATTGCAAATTTTTAAACATTCGTGAATGTGCTTAAATCTCTTCAAAAGGGAATACTGAAATAAAACTACAGTTGAAAAACCACTCAGCACAAATGCAATAACCCACAAGTAAATTAACGGATAAACAATGCTGCATATTATGAAATTAGTGTCATTTTCTGGCATCGGTAGTATGAAAAATGATATCGCCATTAAAACAGTTACTACGACACTCACAATAACAATGGACATAATTGTCCCTTCGTATAACTTATTTCTGAATTCTGTTAGAATCATGTTTTCTCCTTCATAATATTCATAATCGGATCGAATTGACAGCTTTTCGCTAAAGAACGCAATGGTTAGACAAATTGCTAAAAGCATTAACAATCCTATCAATAATGCTTTAGAAACGATAACGGTCGTTTCAGTATCTCTTAAATGATAAATGAAACCGGCGCAGAATTTGATACAAATAGTTATATCGGCAGTTGAAAGAAGAATTGCCCCAATAACGAGGACCCACCAAATTATCATGATAACAGCGCTATATACGCGAAAGAATTTACTTTGTGCTTTATCGATTTCACATTGTTGTATTATGTCAAATCCAAGTATTTTCAGTATAAAAGCGAATGGTCTAGCGTAACAATTCAAACAAACTCCAAAATTTTCCATAATGCTTTAATTCTCTGTAAATAAATGCATAATATATTTTAATGAAAATAGATGTCTGACAATCTCTATATAATTTAATTGACAGAATATAATTTGATATACTCTGTCAATAAATAAAAATTTTTTAATAATGTGTGGTTTTTTTCTGCTTCCTAAAACTTAATTTTATTCGATTTCATAATTTGAGTAGAGACGAGAAACCTGTCTATTCACGATTTATTAAATAATTC